ACAGACAAACATATTAAAAAAGGGGGGAGATTCATGGGGAAAGAATGGTACATTCGTTCAAAATATAATTAATATAAAATAAGACAAAACCTATTTAAAATAAAAGTATATTAAAATAGACGTTTATTTATCAGCTAGTTACTTTAAAACAGAAAAGTAATTGTATGAAATCGACACTACATACTAAGGCCAGCAAAGTTATGCATTTATATATATCAGATAATCATTTCAGTTATAGTTGAAACTTTTTCGCTTATCCCAGTAGGGTATATTACAGCTAGATGCTTACATCAGCTTAGAACTTAACATCACTTTTGCCAGCAAGATAAATGACAGATCGGGTCTTATGTCTGCAAGGTATATAACAGCAATGTGCTTTTATCAGCTTAGAACTTTTGCATCACTTTTGCCAGCAAGATAAATGACAGATCGGGTCTTATGTCTGCAAGGTATATGACAGCAATGTGCTTTTATCAGCTTAGAACTTTTGCATCACTTTTGCCAGCAAGATAAATGACAGATCGGGTCTTATGTCTGCAAGGTCAGCTATGAATACTAGCTAGGTTAACAGCAAGATATATATAAAGCTAGGTATTTGTATAAGGTATTTAACAGCTAGCTATTTATTCAGCTAGGATTATCATCAGCAACGTATATAACAACTAAGAATTAATATAGACTAGAAATATGTATAATTATATAACAATTGGCATTTATGTTATGTAGGTATTTAAATGAGATAGGGTATATAACAGATAGGTATACATATCAGCTAGGTTGTGGTATTTAAATGAGGTAGGTATTTATCAGCTAGGTATACGTATCAGCTAGGTTGTGGTATTTAAATGAGGTAGGTATTGTACCAGATAGATATACGTGTCAGCTAGGTTGTGGTATTTATATGAGGTAGGTATTGTACCAGATATGTATGCATATCAGCTAGGTTGTGGTATTTAAATGAGGTAGGTATTGTACCAGATAGGTATACACATATAGACTAGGTTGTGGTATTTAAGTGAGGTAGGTATTATACCAGATAGGTATACACATATAGACTAGGTTGTGAGATCAGCTAAGTATTTGGTTGAGCTCTGTATCAGCTGAGCAGTGTCTAGAATAGCCTCCTGGACTGCTAAACTGGCAGTGCTGAGCAGTCCTAAAACAGCTGTTAGTATAGCTGTTTTATCCAGCTGTTATGCTGTCACAGCCACAGCTTGTACAAATGGCCTCTGAGTTTTAAAACACTAATTTAACTGATTTTACAGCACTAACACGAGCAGAAGCGAGTATATTCCTAACTCTGATTTGTTGTTGAATTAATATAAACTTACTGTACTAAATAGAGTTGTCATCTGCGGTAGTGTGACCAAGGTTTAAGGTTTGTGTAGTGTAGGGTCCACTACCCTCACATACNCTGGGACACTCTAGGTGTAGTTTGTATCCAACACAGATATCAGAAAGTATATTAACCCTGCTAACCTGGGACACTCTAGGTGTAGTTTGTATCCAACACAGATATCAGATCTCCTCTACATTTTTTAATACAAATATCAAAAGCCAATAAAATCTGCTTATCATTTTATTTTTAAGAAATAAATATACCCTTTAAGCGAGGAGGGTATGTGGATATGGAAAATTCCGAAAACTTTTTCAGCCAGGTTATTTAAAGTATCTTTTCACACGACACTTACTTTTAATTAATTTCTATCCTTCTCTCAAAAAAGTCGAATCATCTAAAAAATCGTGAAAATGCCCCCTCCCCCATTTCTCTCGACCTCCCCCCCTCTACCTCCTTCCTCCGGACTGAAATCAAACCGGTCTTTTCGCCTCGGTCTAACAAACACTTTAAATCTCATAATAATTGTAACAAAAATAAATCAACCTTTAAAAATTTAATCTTTTAAGCGTCATTAGATAAGATTTAATTTTTTAATTAAAATATTATTATTTTCACTCAATATCTAATAATTTATCAAAGAATAAATTTCATAAAAAATATCATTTCACAGATTTGCACGCGCGATACTAAAATTAATTTCATAAATGTTTGAGTGTAGGATTTGAGTTCAATGATGAGAAAAAATGACACTAAAATTAAGTTGCGGTAGTAATCCAACTCAAGCGGTCATTCTGGGGTCAGGTTCCAGTAAGCCGGTNAGGTTGGGGGGGATATAGTAGTACATATACAGACAACTGAATAATACAACTAGCGTAGCAACAGATGAAAACAGACAAACATATTAAAAAAGATTAGAATGATATTCTCTACTAGGACAGAATAGTTTATATTTTTTACAGAGGAAAAGATAGAAAAAGAAGAAAATTTTATGGCCACATAAAGTATTCGAAACTACTGTGCAAGATCCCATTTCAAATTCAGGCTATAAAAATACAATGATATATAAAGCTTTATATTTTATAATGCATTTCCAGAAATCCTTTTTCTTTGATTTTCTATACGACAATCAAACCAATACACAACCAGAAGAAAATGATAAGTAGTAAAAATTAATAATCTTTATACAAAAATATTTAATTTAACCGTTTATATAAAGTATATTTACCGAATGAGATTCTCTAATGCGCCGAGGTCTCCTGTCCGCGCGCTCCCTCGCGCGTAACCTCAAACTGATCATCAACTTTTTATTGTATTTTCTGAAAATATAACTTAGTCAATTAAAAAAAGGTATGAATGATCAAAGTTAATGATGAAAGCTTATTTTTTAGTCCCGCATTTTCGTTTTTTAATCATTGCGCAATTTAATTCTAATATTTACGCGTGAAAATCAAATAGAAATGAAGAAATTTGCAATGTTTCAGTCAAGCATTGCTACATAGCCAGGCTTTATCAAGTGCGAATTTCACTGAATCATTCATTCTAGGAAACTTGCAAAGGACGGAAGAGACGGGGTGGGGGGTTGCAATTGTTATGAAAATTGAAAATTTGTCTGTATTAGGCAACCTCCTTATTACATAATCACAAATATTGATATTTAGTTCAAAATCACCATCGACAGATAAGTGATTGATCATTGATCGCTTATCAATTCAATGCCCCATTCACTCAGTAAGTTGAGAACTAAATCAAGATCCACCGAAGGTTAAACGAGCCACGTGATCAGTTTTCCTAAATAAAAAATAATTCAAAATTTATTTTTTTTTAAATGGGGTACCTTATATCCCCAATTTCCTTACACAATACACAATCTAGTTCAAAATCTGAACATCATGTTGTTTTAGTAAAACCAATTTTTCGCGTCATTTTGCTATTAGAGGTCAATCTGCTTTAACAGGTCAGGGTTCTGAAGTAAATTTCCTCTTAGATTATACGTTTGTGAGGTCACTTTGCAATTGGAGATCAAGGTCAGAAAGTCACTTTTCTATTAAAAGTCAGGGTCAGGAGGACACTTTGCTATTAGAGGTCATAGTTATGAGGTCACTTTGCTATTAGAGGTTAGAGTTATGAGGTCATTTGCTATTAGATGCCAGGGTCATGAGGTCACTTTGCTATTAGAGGTCAATGTCAGGAAAACATATTTCTAGAAGAGGCTAGGGTAATGAGGTTCCTTTGCTATTAGAGGTGTAGGTCAGGAGGACACTTTGCTATTAGAGGTCAAGTCATGAGGAAACTTTGCTATTAGAGGTACGGGTCAACAGATCACTTTTCTATTAGAGGTCAGGGCCATGAGGTCCCTTTGCTATTAGAGGTCAAGCTCAGTAGGTAAATTTGCTATTAGTGGTCAGGGTCAGGAGGACACTTTGCTATTAGAGGTCAAGTCATGAGGAAACTTTGCTATTAGAGGTACGGGTCCTTAGGTCGATTTTCTATTAGAGGTGAGTCATGAAGTCCCTTTGCTATTAGAGGTCAAGGTCAGGAGGTTACATTACTATTATAGGTCAGGATGACACTTCGCTATTAGAGGTCAGGGTCAGTAGGTCACTTTTCTATTAGAGGTCAGGGTCATGAGGCCCTTTTGATATTAGCGGTCAAGGTCAGTAGGTCACTTTGATATTAGATGTCAAGTCATGAGGTCACTTTACTATTGGAGGTCAAAACCCTGGAAATCACTTCGCTATTAGAGGTCAGGATCAAGAGGACTCTTTGCTTTTAGAGTTCAGGGTCAGGAGGACACTTAGCTATTAGAGGTCAGGGTCAGAAGAGCGGGTTCATAACATGTAAACACTTCTCCTCGTGATAAAAATGAATGACCTTGTACTGGATTTGATGAAGCCGATATATTGAAGCTCGGAAACAATCCTTGCGAACCTAGCCTGCTCCTCCTAGTTCGTAAATAAAATTGATTTAAAAAAAATGTGGCAATAAAATCAAGTTTAGAAAGCATTAGAAAGGCCAGGAAACTGGTTTATTGTTAAACAGAAGGTTAAACAGTGATTTCACGACATCGTCCAACTTCACAATAATAATTAATATTATGATACAACTAGCTTTAAAAATCCATCCAAATAACAGTCAAATATATTTACAAACCCGATCACCCTTACTTTACTTTTTCACACATTTGGAACAAATGATTTGTGAATTCAAAAAGTAGAAAAGAAATATTGTAATAAATCTAATATTTCTCGGAAATCAATAGTGAAACCTAAAAAATTGTGAAATAAAATGAATATTAAATAAATCTAATTTTCCTCAGAGATAGATTCAGCTCCAGTAGAGATTATACTATGCCAACAGCTTAGCCAGTCATATACATTAATCAACCTAGAATAAATATACATTTACTAACCTGAAATATATCAGCCAGTCAAATTGTATATTTTGTGTACTAGGTAAATTGTATATAAAACACTGTACAACATGTATGTACAGGAAAAATCCCTGTTTATGACACCGTTATGTTTTCAAATTTAAATGCACCATGACAGTCAAATCANAGGTGTAGTTTGTATCCAACACAGATATCAGGAAGTATATTAACCCTGCTAACCTGGGACACTCTAGGTGTAGTTTGTATCCAACACAGATATCAGAAAGTATATTAGACAAAATATACACTCATACAAGAGTATAATGCAATATTGACCTGGTAGGATCTCCATTTTTTCATTAAACACCAACATTAGCAAAATATCTGTTTTCTATACTAGGAAAATATTGGAAACTGGATCAGGGGAGCTTCAAACAAACATTTTCTTCAGATGTGGTCATTGTGTTCGGTCCCATAGACTTCTAAGCGAAACCTTCAGCAATTAAAAAGTAAACCCTAACCTATACAACAAAAATCTTTTGTTTGATGACATGTTATAATTTTTTAAAAGAGACAGACCTAGCTGCATGAAAGAAAAATAAAATAAGGATGGGGAAGAGGGGGGGGGGGTATTTGGGTATGTCCTAGAGAACGATTTTTTTCCCCCCCCGCGCCCCCCCCCCCTCCTATTAATTTTGTACATGACCATTTTTTCCAGCAAATTTAAATTTATTTATTATTATTTCAGTGTTAGGTTAGGTTAGGCTCATTCCCGGGCCGAGCGCTGCGGCTAGGACGGGCTAGGGGGCCGAGCGCTGCGGCCAGGAAAGACCTCTATAATTCAACAATTTATAATAAAATTAGTGTTTATTTTGGGCTAGGTTAGGTTAAGCTCATGTCTGGGCCGAGCGCTGCGGCTAGGACAGGCTAGGGGGCAGAGCGCTGCGGCCACATGTCTGGGCCGAGCGCTGCGGCTAGTCCCCCTGGCCCCCTGTCTTAAACATAATGTGGACTACTCATTCACTCAAATTATATATTTTGAAATATCAATATCTCATGCCTTTTAAATCCCTACTTTTTCACCATGAATCTATTTTAATTCACTAGAAAATGTTATAAATAACAAATTTTGAAATTTTATTTTAGCGTACTTAAAACCTCAACTTTTCACAAGTATACTATGTTGAAGTATCAGTAAATAAAACCAGTTTTATAGTTTTAGTGTACAAGTAGACTAAGTACAAGTGTTCTCAATGTACTTTATACAGTGTACATACATCGCACAGAGCCGGAAAATAACGACAGAATTGAAACTTTCGGAACTCAACATTTTACTTTAAATAGATTTTAATTTAAAAAATAGAAAACAATAAGAGAAAGAAAAGTAGACGTTTTAAAAAAAAACTTATCAGTAAAAATGTTGGTATATTATATCTGCCTTTCAGGCTGGGGGGGCAAGGTTAGGCCCCCCTAGCCAGATTAAGGGGGGCATGCCACTCCCTAAAAAAGCTTGCCCCCCCCCCCTGTAGGGAGGGGGGCAAGAAGTTCACCCTGTTTTGTATATTTATCTTTAATACTGTGGTACAACTATAAAATTGATCCTACATGTTCACCGCAAATATTGTGTGATGTGGCATATTAAAAAGAAAATTTTTCACGTAAAATCATGATTTTTTAATGAAAGGCATTTCTTGTCAGTGTCTGAGTACAATGTACATATTTGATTTATGGATGAATTGAATAATGAATATATATATTGTATATGTATAAATTGTAAATTAATTAATATTGTGATTTATATTAACCAGAATAGATTTTTTTTTAATTTCATACTGAATCTCCGGTTTGTAAGGTAAGTTTTTTTTTAATGTTTTGAGTATAATACATATATTTTTCTTGCAGTCGCCGAAAAAAAAAACGAAAACTTAACACAAAAATCTCTTTTTAATCTTATTCAGCAATTTTACAATGTTAACACACATTTGTTATTTGCACGGTCCATTAGGCCTTATACAGATATCAGAAAGTATATTAACCCCGCTAACCTGGGACACTCTAGGTGTAGTTTGTATCCAACACAGATATCAGGAAGTATATTAATCCTGCTTACCTGGGACACTCTAGGTGTAGTTTGTATCCAACACAGATATCAGGAAGTATATTAACCCTGCTTACCTGGGACACTCTAGGTGTAGTTTGTATCCAACACAGATATCAGAAACTATTAACCCTGCTAACCTGGGACACTCTAGGTGAAGTTTGTATCCAACACAGATATCAGGAAGTATATTAACCCTGCTAACCTGGGACACTCTAGGTGTAGTTTGTATCCAACACAGATATCAGGAAGGGTTGGAGGGATCTCTCCTTGGTCCTGGATCTCTAGATCAGGATGCTCCAGGTAAAGGTAGGGATCGGTGAGAGCAGTATGAAGAGCTGCTCGTGGAGCACCTACAAATTCATTAAAAATTAATTAAAACTATTAAGTGAAAAACTTGGACCTCCCTCCCAACATAAAATAAATAAATAAAACGTTTAAAAAATTTCAAGAAAGAATTAGAACCCAATTTGAATATGTAATATTGATATGATGGGGCTACTTAAATAAAATACCCATCAAAGCTTGTATCTATTTAGTTGATTTTATAATGTCTGTTAAGAATGTTTAGTTGTAAATCAAATCAAATCTAACTCGTATGGTTCCCTCCATCCACTCCCCAAACTCAAAGAGACTTTATTAAATCAGGTTTGAAGAGAGGCATTATAGCTAGTGTAATGTCTATTAAGAATGTATTGTTGTAAAACAAAACAGCTGTTTGATGTTTTATAAGCAATTACTTTGATCTTATCTAAATATTTCAGATTTCAGAAAAGAACAATGAATGTTTGAGTAAAACATGAAGTTTACCTACAAGATGTCTTCTAACTGTTGCCGTAGCTGTGAAAAAGAATATTTCATGAAGAGGTTTCACGGTTGGTGGTTGGAGGTAGTCCTTAAAGGTTTGGTGGAGGAGGGTCATCAGCTCACTTCGGAGCAGGTCAAACGGTCTCATCTAGATGTTACTAATAGTTACTCATTACAACAGATTTACAGAATATATAAAAAGAGATATATATTTTGGAATACCAAAAAAATAGGAATTTTTACAACATTTCAAGAATCATTAACATTAGCTTAACCCAATTGTGTTTTCACAATCTTAACCATGTCCATTGCCCAATCTTTTTTTTCCCAGGTGTAAAGTGCCTCCCTACGCACGTGTTTAAGACTTTACCTGGAGTTTCTGGTTTCTATGAGCTGCTTCTAGTAGGGTAGCTTGAAGCTTGTATCGATCCAGTTGCACTGATTTTCCTAATAAGGCAAAATATATTTATAAACTCAGTGATTCATGTTAACAGTTACGTTGTCAATAATCTGCTAAATGATATTTTTAAAAGCAAAAAAAATTTTAAGTAATTTTAAACCAGGTTTTTTCATTTCGATTGTAAAGACAGGCCTAGAAATGCTTTTATCCTACCTACAACAGGGGAAGAAACCGAACTGCGGTTAGGAGAGCTGTTCAAATTTGAAGTACTTGTGCTGCTGGCCGAATTTGAGCTGCCAGGAGCAGGAGTATTTGAGCTGCTAGGAGCAGGAGTATTTGAGCTGCTAGGAGCAGGAGTATTTGAGCTGTTATCTAGATTGCTTGGTAGTATACAGGGTGAGCTAGATGAACTGTCGTTAAATCTAGCAGCTAGAGACTGGACAGCCGGGGAACCTAACAAAATTTAAAACGTGAATTGCCGAAAACTTAATTCGAAGTAATTCCTCTTTAAAATAACCCACTGAATATCTAAATCAATCTAATTCAATCAAATCATTTCTTATTATTCATTCATTCATGCCAATTTTGAAATTTGGCGTAGGGCAATAAAGCTCTAAAAGGATTGGTCTAAATATACCCATGCAATAGTAGTATTTTTGCAATATATGTAATGTTATTGCGTGCAAGATTATTTACAAAGGATCGAACTAAAATTACGAACTAAAACTCTCAAGGTACGCCAATCTGAAGGTTAAATTTGGCGTTCGAATATATACTTTAAAAAGTGGAGAAAAAACAAGTTGTATAACATATTTAATTCTGAATAAATAACAACGAATAGTAAACCTGAATATTCTAGATCTGAATCCAGGTTTCTTAGTTTCTCCAGGTTCTCCTCTACCTTAGCTAGGAACTCGGATAGAAGGGGTAGACCTCCCACCTAGATAAGTTAAACAAATCTACAGGGTGGCCAAAACTTTTTAGAACAAATCCGTACAAAAAGCCGTACATTTTCAGAAGAAATTCGTACAATCCGTACAATTTAAAAAAAATACACCGTACAATCCGTACATTTTTTTAAACCAATCCGTACATCTTTTTAAAAATCCGTACATTTTTTTAAAAATCTGTACAATCAGTACAATTATCGAAAAAAATCTCATTTTTGAAAAAAAAATATTAAAATTCAATTTTTCATTCATTGTCCTTTGTGTTCAGTTCATGTAAAAGGGTTTAAACTTCTTCAGCAAGAATCAATCTTTAAAAAAATGGCTTCATACATATATACAAACTAAATACTGGGTACATGATACTAGGTGCATGATACTGGATGGGTACATGAAACTGGGTACATGAAACTGGGTACATGATACAGGATACTGGATACAGGATACTGGATACAGGATACTGGATACAGGATACTGGATACAGGATACTGGATGAAGGATACTGGATGCAGGATACTGGATGCAGGATACTGGATGCAGGATACTGGATGCAGGATACTAGATGCAGGATACTGGATGCAGGATATTGGATGCAGGATACTGGATGCAGGATACTGGATGCAGAATACTGGATGCAGGATACTGGATGCAGGATACTTGATGCATGATATTGGATACAGTATACTGGATACAGGATTCTCGATACAGGATACTGGATACAGGATACTGGATACATGATACTGGGTACATGATACTGGGTACATGATACTGGGTACATGATACTGGGTACATGATACTGGGTACATGATACTGGGTACATGATACTGGGTACAGGATACTGGGTACAGGATACTGGGTACAGGATACTGGGTACAGGATACTGGGTACAGGATACTGGGTACAGGATACTGGGTACAGGATACTGGGTACAGGATACTGGGTACAGGATACTGGGTACAGGATACTGGGTACAGGATACTGGGTACAGGATACTGGGTACAGGATACTGGGTACAGGATACTGGGTACAGGATACTGGGTACAGGATACTGGGTACAGGATACTGGGTACAGGATACTGGGTACAGGATACTGGAACATCTTCTTGAATAAGCAATCAAATAAGTACTTATGGAACATATTCTCAAATAAACACTTCTTGGACATATCTCGAAAATTATGAATGAATTTTGATTGTCAATTGAAACATTAATCAATCTAATATTATTTAGAATGCAAAAAATAAGTTAAACTAACTTCATTTTAACGAGAATTTTTTTTTAATTTTCATGAAAAATTTGCTGAAATGAGTGAAAATTTAAAAAAAACGGCGTATTATCCGTACAATCCGTACAATCCGAACAATTTGGCCACCCTGAATCTATTAAGACAAAAACAAAAGATAAGTGGAGAAATCCAAATATCAAATTAAATAGTTTGGAAAGAGGAGGTGAGGCGAGTGCATTGTGTTAACTGTTAAGTAAATAGTAATAAATAAATAATAATAATGATAGTAATAAACAAAATAATACAGTCAACCATCATTGTTTAGAAATCAATGCCGACATATAAGATACATTATATGAGATAACCCAGACCGTTATCTTTAAAATCTCAGTTAAATCTCAATAATTTTTTTTCATCGTTCACTAGTACTATTAAGAGGGTCACATGTTTCATCCTTTTTCAAGAACCATGACTTAATACTTTCAGTTAAATTATCTATAAGCTTTTAAAAGGATAAAAAGATGCATCTGGAGCTGGTGAATATTGTTTTTGTATCGAAATTTTCAAAATTGTTTGATATGTGGCAAAAAACTGATATTTTGGAACCCTGCCCATTTTTGTAAATTATCAACGGATTTTCACAATTTCAATTTTTAATCAGCATTTACTGTATAAATTTATATATAATGACATGGCCGATACATCTAAATATATTTCTATATCTAAGAAGTGAAAAATATATTCCCTATATTGTTGTGAGCTATGAATATCTCCAGCTAGTGCAGGTTCATAAACCTCGCTCAGTAACCGGCCTAGAGGACGCCGGGGTAGATCTCTACAAATAAAAATATTTATATATTTAGTGGAGCTGAGCTGGAAACTTGTGTTAGATATCCATAATACCGATCACTTGATCCTAATATCCACAGCGGGCACTTTCGAATTTGGCGGAGAATCTGCTTGATCTCATGGTTTGGATATCCCTACTTTCTCTGTTTTCTCATTCGTTAAACGCAAAATTCCTTGGCTTCTAATTGGCTGTTCGTTTTCCGCACTAAACAGGTTATCAAATAAGGATTAAATCAATCTGTTGAATAACAAAAGATCGAGATAAATGCTAGATCTCGTCCTCGATATCCACGGTTCAAGAATAAGGATAAGGATAACAATAAGGAATAAGGAATAAGGATTAGGGAGATGCCTGTTCAACAACTTACTTTTTTAATCGTGGAATGAACATAAAACACAGCAATTGTGCAGTGGAACCAGATAAATGTAAATTGATAAGTTGATTTTTAAGGTGTTAGGTACTTTCCAAAGCACATTTTCCCAAGAGAGACTTCCCAAGTAACAATTTCCAAAGTGATAACTTCCCAAATGTGCAATTTCTCAAGCGGTAACTTCCAAAGGTTAGGTCTTCTGAGACGCCGAAAGCTACAATGGGGGCCGAGCGCTGCAACTGGGACAGATTTGGGAAGTTGCCGCTTGAGAAATTACAGATTTGGGAAATTGCCCCTTGGGAAAATACCTTTGGAAAGTTGCCACTTGGGGAAAATCCTTTGGGAAAGTACCTTACATCATTTTTAAGCTACCAGTAAAACTATTTCCTTCCAAATAATATTATATACACATAAGACTGCTTAAATGTGCCTTCCTATTCCATTATGGTTACTACTGTATAAAAATCAATCAAAACAATTTACCTGGAAACTATGTGAAGAACTTGAACAACTGCCGTAAAGGTTTTCAAATAATCAAAATATTCCTGAAAAATAAAATAATAATTTCTTTATGTTAAATATTTTACAAATATGAGTAAATCTGTATATTGGCAAATATATAATACAGGTTTCTGTGTGGGTGGCTTAATTTCAGGATCTGGTCAGTGTTTTTAATAAACTATAATTAAAGCACTTGTTTTATTCTTTCTATTTTTGTGCACTTTATTTAATAATTTTAATATCGAAATAACATCATCATCAAAAAAATCATCATCATCCGATTATTTTTCAAGGTTACTCAAACCTGAATTAATGGTTTAATGGTTTGCTTGGCTTTCTTTGGGTTGATCAATATCTCCGCCTGCTCATCCAGCTCTAGCTCACTCATATACTCCCTGGGGTCAAAACTTTATTTAATCCGTTCATAACACGCTTAGTCGGTTCCCCTCCCCCTTACGGTTCAATTCAAGCTGTGAGGTAAATCAAACCTTTTCTTTGAATTATTTTCTATTTATCTTTTAAGGGATTAAAAACTCAGATTAAATATAAAAAATGTTGTATTTCAATGTTTTTCTTTTTTGTAATAAATAAACGAGGGTCTTTTAAGGGGAGTGACTGGCTAGACATATTAGACATATCAGGATTCTCTATAATACAGCACTCTCAGCTCAACTACAATGTCCAGTCACTCCCTTTAAATTAATACGCTGATATCCCTTTATTGTTTAGCTGTTACTAGGATAATAGGGACTGTAGATGTAATTTTCCAAGTTGCCCGTAGAGAGGCATGTTCTTGTACGCGAGAGTTCACTGGCATGGCAGATCTAATATGTATTTGTCTCATCATCTTTAATCCAACAAAGGTTTAAAAGGTACTTTTGCGAATCTGATAAGTCCCTTAAAATACTATAAAACTAACCTGAAACTATTGAGTCTGCAGATAAAACTAAGATCATCCAAATCCATGTCTTCTATTTTCTTCAGGCAATCCGCCTCATTCAGTACAAGTGCAGCTAAACAGAATCTATTTATATTTTTTACAATATAATTCTCAACAACAACAAAAATTAAGTTTTATTGTAAATATGAAATTTTTAACTTTAATAATTTATTTTAATAAAATTTTACAATATTTAAAAATATTTATATGATATCAGATCAAAATATTTTGAGATTTCTATACTTCTTGTTCTTCATTATATTATTGTTCTCAATCATATTCGGCTAATTTTAAAAATAAAAATAAAAGAATTTTTTGGATGTCCTTGTAGTTCGCTACTTTACAAAAAAGAACTATTTTTAAAGAATCTTGCTTTTTATTCTGAACTCTGTATTGCATTGAACTAGCTGAGAAGATCTTGTTTTCTTTTCTCTGAACTCTATATAGAAATGTTTACTCTTGAGTTGCGTCTGAATAAGTAAAGACACAATTTCATGATATTTTCTGGGGGCTGGAAGGGGTGGGGAGTGATCGTCTCACCCCCCTCAAAGTGACCCCTCAAATTAAATTAATTCGACCAAAGTTCAATTTTTTCTCTCTTTCTAACCTGCTGGGTTTCTGTAGAAATGTTCTCCAAGGATGAACCTGACACAATTATCAATAATTTTATATAAAAACATTTAAAAAATTTTATTATTTCAATTGGTTTTAAATTTAAATACACTTTTATGACATAAGCAAGTAACTTTAGGGCGAAAAATTTCTGTTAGATTATGATCATTGGGCTAGACCTGAGGCCAGCAAGGAATTCTAGACTTGGAAGAATTTAGAACACTGTGCATTTATGAATGCAGTTCAAGTCAAACACTTACTGGTTTAATGTTAAAGGCTTTTAGTTATTAAATTCTTCAAACTTTACACCACTACCACTTCTAAAAAAAGATCTATCAGATTTTTGATTAAGATGAAATGGTAAAAAAGCAACAAAAAAAAGAGAAAATGTTGATAATTTTCCTATATCCGGCTAAAAACTGATTCACAGAGAAATCATGGAATAGAAAATTCTCCCGTAGGAACTGGAAAACTCTTCCAGACAGTTTAAACGGAACCTAAACAAATAAAACATTAACAGGGTGGCACAACACCCACTTTTCTAATACTTCTCCTTTCCTTTTCTTAATTCCTTCTTTCTTAATTCCTCTTTTTCTCACTTCCTCCTTTTTTCACTTCCTCCTTTTCTCACTTCCTACTTTTCTTACTTCCTCCTTTTCTCAATTCCTCCTTTTCTTAATTCCTCCTTTTCTTAATTCCTCTTTTTCTTAAATTCCTCCTTTTCTTAAATTCCTCCTTTTTTTAATTCCTCCATTTCTTAATTCCTCCCTCCTTCTTTATTTCCTTCTTTTCTTAATTCTTCCTTTTCTTACTTCCTCCTTTTTTTACTTCCTCCTTTTGTTACTTCCTCCTTTTCTTAATTCCTCCTTTTCTTACTTCCTTCTTTTCTTACTTCCTCCTTTTCTTAATTCCTCCTTTTCTTATTTCCTCCTTTTCTTACTTCCTCCTTTTCTTAATTCCTCCTTTTCTTACTTCCTCCTTTTCTTACTTCCTCCTTTTCTTAATTCCTCCTTTTCTTACTTCCTCCTTTTCTTACTTCCTCCTTTTCTTAATTCCTCCTTTTCTTCCTCCTTTTCTTAATTCCTCCTTTTCTTAATTCCTCCTTTTCTTAATTCCTCCTTTTTAAATTCCTCCTCTTCTTAATTCCTCCTTTTCTAAATTCCTCCTTTTCTTACTTCCTCCTTTTCTTACTTCCACCTTTCTTTAAAAAGTTTTCGTAGACAATAAGGTGACTATATCGTCTTAAAAGTGATCCTTCAACTAAAAAGTGACATGTTTGATTCACAACGGTGACTTTTACACTTGAATTTAAACAATTAGAAAGTTCTCTTATCTGTTCTATCTAATGATATATTATTTTCTCTTATTTTTTTTTATTGCTTCTAGAGCTTCTATGAGCAATTACTATTATATAGAAACAACAGGTAAAATAATCATCTTTTGTTCAGCTAGACATAACGTTGTCTCATTCATCCTTAATCGGACAATAGTTTTAGAGTACAGTTGTGAATCAGACATATCAAGTTTTCACAAAAATGCTGGTTGCTTGATAACTAAAGCGGGTTCCTAGCGTAGGTAAAGCTTACCTCAGTATCAAGAACTACAGCCTTAACAACTTCTTCTAGATGTAGGGCTGCATTCGGGCTTCCAAATCTAGATAATTAGATGGATAAATAGTTAGATTAATAGATAAATAGAAAGGAACAACACAGGTCACCATAAAAATTGAAAACACTATTTAGTTTTTATTTGGCAAAATGGATTGCTAAGTAAGCTTTAATAATAGATAGCTAAGTACAGAGCTAAAAAGGAAGTCACTATCTAGTCAGAAGTTCGTTAACATTATGAATGTTGATGTAATAAGAAGTACAGCAAATCCAGCTTACGTGTTGATAGTTAGCTTGGCTGTGGTAGATTGTGGTAAGGATTTGTGTACAGCAGATAGTGTGGTAGCTACTCCAAATATCATTATTACAGGCAGAATACTCAGATACCTAAATATATATATATATATAAAGAAACATCTTGATTTAACATCTTTTTTCCCAGGTTTTTCATTATTATTACTAAATGTTACAATTAAATGTTCTCTGCTATAATTCTAATAAATTAAAATAGTAATGGTAAAAATTAAAGTGAAAATTTAATGTTTCCCCCTTAATATGTATGTGTTATGTGTATTATGTAAGCATAAAACCAGGATTCTTTCCACAGAAAATTAGGTTTAGGTCTTCTATTCTCTGACAGTCAATTTAAAAATTTCCCAATTTAGATCGTAAAATCTGCAAAATAAAGAAAATTACATCAATTCTATTGATAAAATTAAATCATCAATTACTAAATGTAAATTTTCTAGGATTAATAACATTTTAATTTGCCAGTCTACTAATGACATAACACGTAATAAGGTGGCCTATTGAAATTGATCTTAAATACAAGGTTAATATATTTTGGAAGAATTGAAGAAGTCAGAAAAAAATTCAAATAATTTTCTTTGGATTTACCAGTCTACAAATGATCTTGGGAGAAATTGTGCCATGTAATAACATAAGACACCTACAAGGTGGCCCATAATAAAGTGTTAATTAATGTCGGAAGAATTGCAGAAAAAATATTTAACAAAAAAAAAACATTAAACAAACCTGCTACAGAGAGTTATGAGATCATTAAGAGCAGAACCAGAACAGTTCTCAAAATCCTAAAAGTTAAAAATTCAAAGCAATTTTTTCAAAAAATAATAATAATCATAATAATCATAATAATAATAATAATACTACTAATAATACAAATAATACTACTAATAATAAAAATAATACAAATAATACAAATAATACTACTAATACTACTAATACTACTAATACTGCTAATACTAATATTAATACTGATACTAATCATAATCATAATCATAATCATAATCATAATCATAATCATAATCATAATCATAATCATTATCATAACCATAATCATAATCATAATCATTATCATAACCATAATCATAATCATAATCATTATCATAACCATAATCATAATCATAATCATTATCATAACCATAATCATAATCATAATCATTATCATAACCATAATCATAATCATAATCATTATCATAACCATAATCATAATCATAATCATTATCATAACCATAATCATAATCATAATCATTATCATAACCATAATCATAATCATAATCATTATCATAACCATAATAATAATAATAATCATAATCATAATAATAATAATAATAATAATAATATTGTAAATAAATGTATATGGTTTTATTTGGTTAGCTAACTGGCTTGGAATGTATCTTATCTACTTTATCTCCCTAGCTTTGGACTAATTGTTGGGGTTTTAAAGGTCCAGTTGAAAAAGGGGCGGGACGGTGCTCCCTGCTGCCTGGGCGGTCTGGGGGTCCACATTGGGGCCTCTTGCAGATTTCACTTTCTTATGAATCCTTATGTCTACATGTTTTTATTTTCTGACAATTTTGTAAAATTAACCGTTATTAATATTATTATTATTAACCGTATGCATAAAGGAAAAATTGTTGGAAAGTGTGAACTGACCTGAATAACAAATACTAGTGGTGGTCTCTGATCCCCTGTATACTGAGTAGAATACCAATCCTGGAGATATTTAAAACTAGCTTCAGACTTCTTCACTACAGACAACTCAACCTCATCATCATCATCTGAATTATTTATGTCAGGGGTGAGAATTTTCAATTATTTATTACAGATCTTTCCCCCTAAATTCTATGCATTAAACAATTTTATCAACAGCAAAACGACCAAGCTAATTTAACGCTTGATTCACTTCTAAAAGAGAGGTTTCATAAAGAATGGCAGCCCAGGGTGCCTGCGTGCACCGGTTCTAGCTTTTTTGGGTGGAAGTGAATCAAGCACTGATTGGCTGTGTTGTGCGTCCGGAACTCTTATAAGAAGTTTTTTCAAACTTTTTGAATTTTGGAACTTATAAGCCTAGTTTTGTAAGGAGTTCTCAGACCTCCCTCAAATTAAATACTGAGTAAATCTAGTGGTGAATTAGACACTGTGATCTAGTTAAACAGACTAAAGTGTAAAATGGCGGATGGTGTGTAAAATGGCGGAAAATGTTTAAAATGGCTGATATCATATAGACAAACACTTGTGAACAGTGACAGCAATTATTGCTGATTATTGCCGATTATTTTATTTTAGAATAGTGACATAGACACTTTTAACTTTTTACTGTCAATTTCTTAGCAAAGTGACATATAGACACTTTTAAATCTTTTTATTTCGGTTTCTTAGAAGTGACATATAGACACTTATGAATCTTTTATTGCTGACTTATTGAGAAGTGATATATAGACATATAGACACTTACAGTAACTTTAAAACCGATTTACTTATTTTGCCGAGATACTGCTGATCTCTGTCTAGGTTCGAAGTGTGGCGGAGATCCGAGTAGAATCTCCGTTCTTAGTTCCGAGTTTCCTAGACGACCAGTACCAGATTGCTGCCTTGACTTTTGTATCGGGGATTTTTGAGACACTCTCAGATTCAGGACAGGGTGTACCAAAACTTAAAAGAGAATAATTAACCCATGCAAATTTCTCCTATCTAAATTTGTCTTAATGGTACACCCTCAGAGTGAATAGTTGAACCTGACTTCATTAATATAACTTTTTCATACATTGCATAGTAGTCGGTGAACTTTTATCTCCGGATAACTTTTTACCGAGTGGTCTGTCGGGGTGTTTTTATCTCCGGATAGCCTTACTCCACCAGATCAATTTTAAACTGAGCAAGTGACAAATAAACTGTACACTAAAAGAAGGCTTAAAAAATAGAAAAAAAAATAAAAAAAATAAAGAAAAGAAAAATATCCTTAAAAAAATCTTAAATAAGGAGCAATAAAAAAAAGAGAAATAAAAATCTGAGAGAAAAATATAAAAGTGAAAAGATATAGAAAATAATAAAGAAAGAAAAAAGAAAAATATATACAAAAAAAAATTAGTACAGAAAGCCCCCTCAGTATTTTAATCCTGTGTACTCATTCAATTGTAAACTCCGCGAGGAGTCCCCGCTGAAACACTTGCTAGTTTCGTAGGGGTTTTTATATTTGTTTAATTTTTAATCTTGCTATCCAATTCTGATCATTGTGGTCAGTAAATATCCAAGATATGGCTCCGAAAAAATATCCCTGCCTGGTCTGCGATATCNACAATTTGAAAACAAATCCGTACAATCCGTACAATCCGTACAATCCGTACAATCCGTACAATTTTAGGGTTAAAAAAAATCAATCCGTACAATCCGTACAATCCGTACATTTTGGCCACCCTGTGTATTCTTTATCTGGTCACAACATTTTACCATTCATCACTTTTTACAAATATATCATGCTAAATATGTTTATATTTCAGCTTCACAGCTTGTTGATGACTAAGAAATAAACTCAAACACAATACTTGATTATTTCTGTGTATGGGGTGGCGTACAATACATTGGTTGAATAGTTGACCACTTCTATTTTTCCGACGCTGAAAATTAAATCGAGAAGACGCTAAAAGCTGAAAATACAAAAGTGCCCCACTACCCGGGCATCATCTCACGCCCGGACACTTCTTAACGCCCTTCGGCTTAAACCTTCCCTGAGGCCATTTAGGTGTCCACAAGAAAAAATTCCATAATAGTCATTGTTTTTATAAATCTCACCTAAACGGGAAAGAGTAACAGCTTGAGTAACGGTCACCCTTCTGTCCAAAACAGCAAGAGTCAAAATCAAGGATTTGATAGCATCAACACCAAAAGAGATTCCCTAAAATATTTCAAAACTTACTTAGCTGAGATCTTCATCAACCCAAAGTTTGTATATTTACCGGGATTTGTATTTTTTTTTGGGGGGGGAGAGGGGGGGGGGGGGATTTTTTTAAGATTAAGGGAAAATAAAATATTGAAATTAACCTGGCAATGACTCCGTTTAAACTAATAAATAACCTTTTACCTGTATAGCACTCCAGCTGTAGGACAGAAGGTGTTTCTCCAGTATCTTACGATCCTTGTCTGATAACTGTGGAGGAGTAATATCCAGGGTAGGTGCTACCTCTACTCCATACCTGAACAATATTCAGACTATGAGTTTATAATGTTTAACCGTGGAGGAGACATATCCAGGGTAGGTGCTACCTCTACTCCATACCTGACCAATATTCAAACTATGAGTTTATAATGTTTAACCGTGGAGGAGAAATATCCAGGGTAGGTGCTACCTCTACTCCATACCTGACCAATATTCAAACTATGAGTTTATAATGTTTAACCGTGGAGGAGAAATATCCAGGGTAGGTGCTACCTCTACTCCATACCTGACCAATATTCAAACTATGAGTTTATAAAGTTTAACCGTGGAGGAGAAATATCCAGGGTAGGTGCTACCTCTACTCCATATAGCTGACCAATATTCAAACCAGGAGTTAATAATGTTTAATCGTAGAGGAGTAATATCCAGGGTAGGTGCTACCTCTACTCCATACCTGACCAATATTCAAACTATGAGTTTAAAATGTTTAACCGTGGAGGAGTAATATCCAAGGTAGGTGCTACCTCTACTCCATACCTGATCAATATTCAAACCAAGAGTTTATAATATTTAATCATGGATGAGTAATATCCAGGGTAGGTGCTACCTCTACTCCATACCTGACCAATATTCAAACCAGGAGTTAATAATGTTTATTGTTTAACCGTGGAGGAGTATGGGGGAGTAATATCTAGGGTAGGTGCTACCTCTACTCCATACCTGACCAATATTCAAACCATTAATTTACAGTGTTTTACTCAGATTTTTTTCCAACCTTTACTCCTAGTTTTCTTTTTACAGAATTTATTTCTATCCATCTTTTATTTATCCTCTCTATTCAATCCTATGATTTTTAATAAATTGATTTTTTAGCTCGATTTCTCAAATAAAAAAATAGAATCTTCTTAATTATTATTCCTTTTTCCTAATTTCCCTACTTATTCATTTTATTGCATTTGCGCAAGATTCAAATATGAAAATTCAACAATTTTGTTAGAATTAAACTCTTATTAACTAGCTTTAAACAGTTAAAATCAAGACAGATACGACGGAAAAATTAAACCATTGAGCAATTATTTCTTGTTTAAGCATTAATTTCTCGCTTCTCGTTTCTAGCAATTATATCTGCAGCTTATATGTATTCCTACCTATTATTAAACCAAACGATAATAGGAGACCATTGTTCTTTTTGTAGTTTAAGTAGAGGAGGAGGTTCGTCGGAGTAGAATAGAACAGTATCTGTTCCCAAAAAACCTAAATATAAATTTAAATATCATTATCAATTTTTTATAAATAACAATGGGACGAATAAATCTGTGTAGTAGAAAGACGACATTTAGGCAATATTATAGGCAATTAATTTACCATTGAAATGGTACTATGTACAGTGTACACTGCACATTATATGTGTTTCATGATCATTGTTCATGTTCTAAAATCATAACTTGAGTACTATAATCAATAATCATCTTCCAAATCACAGATCAATGGGTCCAACTGTATTGAAATATGTTTTGTGTTTGTAATTAAAAAGGAATCTTATTTATTAAATAAGCATCGGCAAAACCTATTTGCAGAAGAATTTAGTGAAGGAAAATCCCAATTTTTTTTATAAATGAATTATATCTTCTGTTTAAATTCTCTAAAATAAATAATGTAACCACGACATTCACAACACCAGTTGAGTCTCACCTAATATAGATTCGACAAGAACTTCCTTCTTTGTTCTACCAGGGTTATCAATACACGTGTTGCAAAGGCCGGTCAGGTGCATCTGACTGCAAAACCAGTTTAATTTATAATTAATAAATCAATCAATCCACCAAATCATTAAACCGATGTATAAAATATTGTTTTATCAACCTAGGAATAAGATCAATCAATTAACAAATAACATATTTCCCTGTCAAGCATTGTGAAATATTTCTTTATAAACCAATGTATAAAAATCCTATCCATCAACCAAATCTACCCAGGCTTTTAGGTACGTCCAAAATAATGAAATTATCAATCAAAAATAAAAATCAACCAAAAGATTAAATTTTAACCAGTTCCTTAATTGAATTGTATCCTTCTGTGATAGCCATTCGTTTGCTATAGCATGGGCTAGCGGTTCACTCTTCACCTGTGTCAATCCAGGTAAAAAAAAATATGGGTAGGTGTGGGTGGGGGGTGAAGGATAAAAACAACTGAAAGGGTCAGTCCACAAAATTACAAGTGTCCATTTAAGCCATATTAAGAATACCATTAAGCAACGTCTCAAATCCCCAAAAACCGGTTTTAATTGACCACTGGCTTGAATCTTGAAAAATTTATTACAAATTTAAATGAACCAACCATATTTGAGCCGCGTCTCAAATTCTTTAAATTCGGCATCAGTTTACATTATATAAAGGTATCTGAGAAACGACGGTGATATTTACCCGAAAAATATTTGTTTAAATTAAGAAAGACAAGTTCTACGCCGCCAAGCTGTGAAGCATAGAATGCAGGCGCTAAAATTTCACTTTCTGCTAATTTAGGTTTAATAAGTTTGACATTGGAATAAATTTACACGTAATACTAGCAAATTCTTAAAATTGTGGAAAATGACAAGAAAATTACATATTTCATGATTAAAAAAGAACATATTTTTTTTAAATATTTAAAAAAAATATCTTTAAATTTTAAGTGTTCAAATCAAAATACTGGATAGAGTTCCTGGAAAGGGCCGCCAAGTGGAGTTTTGAGTTTTCTATGATCTAAATAACATCTTTTATTTTCCATTGAAATAATAAATAAGTAAGATTCATAAATTGCATCCCATCAAAATAACTTGTTTTATAAAAAAACTTAAAATTCAGGATTAAAAAACTAAAAAAGATTTGTTCATTGCTAGCTAAGTTTTCTGTTCAATTAACAAGAGAAATATAAATCCCTGATCAAATCTCCTGGTTCCTACCTAAATTAATTTCAAACTTGGAGTTATTTTGAACTACGGAAACGTTTTTGTAAAATCGTTTTTTCGGCACCGAGTGTATACTTCGTGTCAACACTGAACTTAGTCCGGTCTTGGCAACATTTCTAAACGATCCAAACATATCTGAAACAAACAATACATTTGTAAAAATCAGACTTGTAAAAGTAACCTGAAAAAATCAGACTACAAAACTAATAAAATTTTCTTGGTTTTTCCATCTGGAGGCTTCGTGTACAAATTTTACAGTGAACACAAATTGCGTATTTTCTTCTTGAGAGAATCATTCAAATTCTTTATCAGTTTATTTCGCTAGTTTGACGACTACTAAACGTTCACGGTTAAAGCTTCGTTTTCATTTTCTTAGCACTGGCTTTAATACAGTCCATGAATACAGAGAACTCCTTAGCACATTGATGTTTTCTTACATCATCTGTAAACAACACCTTGACTAGAACAAGATAAAGTGCTAAATTTCAAGTGATCCTACATTTTTGGAGTGGTATATCTGATTCACAACGGTACCCTTAAGAGGTTAAGGTATGATAAAATGAATGAAATAACGAAAGGAGGAAAAAAATTAAAAACTTGATAAGCTAGAAAAGCGATGACATCATTTACCAGATTAAAGTATAAAGGGTATCGTTAACAATTCGTATCACTTTTGGTGCTTAAACGCCATCATTTTTGGAACGTGTAGGGGTTTATTTATTTTATCGAATTTTTTTATGTCATTAAACAAGATACAAAAAACACATTTTTGTCCATGAATATCTGTGTAAAGAATGAGACAAATTACAGTAAAAATCTACGTTTCATTTTTTTAAATTCTCTTATCAATTTTCCGATAAAAAAATTCTAAGAACCTAATTGTTGTAAAGTATTATGATCAAGACTGTTCCTAGATTATCCCCGACACACTTTCCGTAGCTGGCAGCCTGGGGAGCACACTCCGCAATTAGAAGAGGATACCTACAAGTACACAACACATATGATTCATTGATTGATTGGTTGATTTGTTGACGTTTATTTCTCTTTTAAAAATACCTGCATCTTAGATATAAAATGAAGCTTACACAATACTAATAGTTTAACATTTTTGTAAGTATAATGAGGTTAGAATAATATTGGCGTTTAATCAGAGTATTCAAGAAAAAAGTGAATATTCAAAATTGTTCTGAAAAGAAGCATTTTTACGTTAATTTTCTTTTGGAAGCTTCAATGAAGTCTGTTAGTGTTCAAAATAAGCTCTTTCTTAAAGGGAGTGTTCGCGAAAAATGAAAGGGGTATGGGCTTAATGCGATAAAAAAGCGCTTTTGATTGCTACTAATCTTACTTCTATCTGTTGCGTCTATAAGGAGAAAATTGTTAAAGACGTCTCATACCGAATAACTTAGCACCCATACAAATTCAAAAAATTGCAACATACAACTTAGACCGTAAAAAATCAATTTAATTTTAAGCAGATCATTCAGATCTTACAACCTTTAGTCATCGATTATCTTTCGCCACATTTGTATATAGTTTATATTTTATAATATTTTTAATTAATTTGTTTTGAATTTGATTATTTCTCTTGTTGCTTGCGCAACTATCTAAGAATGCCGCGCACCACTCACATTTTTCGAAATCCGTTAAAACGTTTTCTAAAAAAATTGAATATTATAAAATATGAACTATATACAAATGTGGCGAAAGATAATCGATGACTATAAGTTGTAATATCTGAATGATTTGTTTGAAATTAAATTGATTTTTAACGGTCTAAGTCGTATGTTTCAATTTTCTGTATTTGTATAACGACCAAGCTAGTATAACGCTTGATTCACTTCTAAAAGAGGTTTCAGAAAGAATGGCAGCCCAGGGTGCCAGCGTGCACCGGTTCTAGCTTTTTTGGGTGGAAGTGAATCAAGCACTGATTAGCTGTGTTGTGCGTCCGGAACTCTTATAAGAAGTTTTTTCAAACTTTTTGAATTTTGGAACTTATAAGCCTAGTTTTGTAAGGAGTTCTCAGACCTCCCTCAAATTAAATACTGAGTAAATCTAGTGGTGAATTAGACACTGTGATCTAGTTAAACAGACTAAAGTGTAAAATGGCGGATGGTGTGTAAAATGGCGGAAAATGTTTAAAATGGTAAAATCTTGTTGCAACTAGATCCAGAACTGATATCAGAAAAAATTTCTTCTCTAATAGAGTTATAAACCTCTGGAACAATCTTCCAACAGACGTTAAAGATGCCAGAACAGTTAAAATTTTCAAGGCAAGACTTGAAAAAATTAATCTGTAATCTTATTTATGCAGTCAGGATCAGTGTAGGTGAGGCTAAATCTGAAGCTCAGATCAGACGAATCACACTGTTCCGTGAGGACTACACCGACATCTGCGCTATGGACCTAGAGGCCCTCTGCAGATTATTCTACAAGTAACAAGTAAGTAAGTATGGGCGCCAAGTTATTTGGTATGAGACGTCTTTAACAATTTTCTCCTTATAGACGCAACAGATAGAAGTAAAATTAGTGGCGATCAAAAGTGCTTTTTTATCGCATTAAGCCTATACCCCTTTTCATTTTTCGCGAACACTCCCTTTAAAGGCGAGAGGAATAAATGTGAATATGGAAAATCAAAATTTACTTGATAATTTCGAATTTGAACAAATCAGGATTTAAAAAAATTTATTTCTTACTTTGCAAGACGAGCACGGGCAGCTAGAACACTTTCCATCTTAAACAAATTTCGAAAATGTTTTCCGGAATTAGAATTCGGCTTGGTTCAACCCTAGCTCGGAATTATTTAGATTTCTCTGGTTCCTCCTGAATATAAATACTTTATAGATGATTTAATGCTCCCTCCAACTCAAAACAACTTTTAAAAATTTTGTCCAAAATCAATTTTTTTTCCCAAGATCAGATTTTTTTTATCCTAGCGACATTTCATGATTTAACAAAAGAAGAATTGTTTTATTTTGAGAAAACAACCTCCACCTCCCTCCAGGGGATAACAGAGGTGTACATAATTTCAATTTTTTATTCTTTACCCCCACCCTTTAAAGTATTTTTGATTTTCTTTACCAAATTTTGGAAATAAAAAGACGTCATTTTTTAATATATATTTCAGTGCATAACATCCCTACAAGGATGCATTTAGAAAAGCATAAGCATAAAGGTTCGACTTTTTGGAAAAATGATTGATGACTGAGTATTCTTTTATTATATTTGTTAAGAAGTTATTATCACGGTTTTTCATGCTGCATTTTAACTATTGGGGAAAATTATTTATGAAAAACTCTCTGATTTTAGATAAAACGTTATGTGGATATTAGAGGTAAAGAGCTCCAGCCCCCCGCCCTTTCCTTCACTTCTTTATTTGTCAACCTTCCATCGATTCTCTACCTTTCCCTTCCCTTTGTTCCCCTTCCCTAGCTACCCTACCCTAGGTACCTTTCTCCTATCTTCCTCTTACCTTACCATTCTACTTCCCTTCCCTGTCCCTTCCGTAGTTCCCTATATTCCTCTTTCCCTCTCAACCTTCCTCCTTCCGTAGTTCCCAGGGGGGGAGGAAAGAATTTTATACACCCCTGTGGGATAAGTGACTGCTTTATAACCCAAAATAATGTTTTCCAATTACCTTCTGTTCAGTTGTCCAACCCTTGAATAAAGATGGAGGTCTATACCAGATTCCTGCGTCTATCATCCGCTGTTTCCTTCGCTCCGCTAGAAACAGCTGCTCCGGGGTTGGCTGCTCAAACGCTCTCAGGATAAAAGGACTAAATATTATAGCAAAGTTAAACGCGGAATATACGAGATGATATCTTGGGAAACCCAGACCGCCTACCTAATACGTAGGTGAGGTACAACTTGGAGGACTAGCGTGAAATATTGTCTTGGTAATGTACAAATAATCAAAAAATTAACAATCAAATGACCGCATTACAATACAACTTCCATCTTATATATGTTTTTCGCTATAAATCGCTGCTATAAAAAATTGATTTCTATAAAAGTTCAAGGGTACACAAACAGGGGGGATGATAGTTCTTTGTCTGTGTGCTCAGTTATCTGTACAACTATCTACTAATATTGATATACTATAGGTTAGGCCAGAATCAACTTATAATAAACTAATATGCAGTACGCTCTCGGTATATTTTATGCACTATAAAATTAGTCAAGGATTAGCGTACATCATCACTCTATACACTATAACCTCGTTGGTAACCCTGTATAAAAAAAATTGAAAATTTAATTTAAAGATTTTTACTTACGCGAAGAATCCCCCGACCCCAAGGATGGTTCCAACAGTAACGAATGTTCTAGGATATCTATGCCAGATTTTACGACCAAACTTCTGCTCCTTGAAGCCGTAGGGAGTCTGGAATCTTGTCTTATTTCTCAACTAAACACATATTTAGATGTACTTTTTTGAAAGAAATCCACCCAATATCTTATTGAAGAAATACATTCGATTTTTTTTTAAATGTTACCCGAGGGAATCCATGGGCTTCCTAAAAAAATCAGCTAAATTGGTCCAGCCGTTTAGCCAGCTTTAACTGACATATATATATGAGCGAAAACCTATATCATATATAATATGTATAGATAGTTTCTGTCAAAAAAAACAGTTTTGCTTTTTACCTGTCGCAAGACATTTTTATTATTGTTTGTCAGAAAATTTGGAAAATCTAGAATTAATGGTCATTTAAATCAACTTTAACCCAGCTTGGTATCCGATATCTGAATATAAGTGTGTACTTTCAACCCCCCCCCCCTTTATTTGGCCTGAACCCCTAACCTAAAATCAATGTTTCGCCTGAACCCCTTGCCTAAAACCAATGTTTTGCCTGAACCCCTAACCTAAAATCAATGTTTTGCCTGAACCCCTAGCCTAAAATCAATGTTTTGCCTGAACCCCTTGCCTAAAATCAATGTTTCACCTGAACCCCTAACCTAAAATCAATGTTTTGCCTGAACCCCTTGCCTAAAACCAATGTTTTGCCTGAAGTCCTTGCCTAAAATCAATGTTTCGCCTGAACCCCTAACCTAAAATCAATGTTTTGCCTGAACCCCTTGCCTAAAACCAATGTTTCGCCTGAACCCCTTGCCTAAAATCAATGTTTCACCTGAACTCCTTGCCTAAAATCAATGATTTGCCTGAACCCCTTGCCTAAAACCAATGTTTTGCCTAAACTCCTTGCCTAAAATCAATGTTTCGCCTGATTCCCTTACCTAAAACCAATGTTTTGCCTGAACCCCTAACCTAAAATCAATGTTTTGCCTGAACCCCTTGCCTAAAATCAATGTTTCACCTGAACCCCTAACCTAAAATCAATGTTTTGCCTGAACCCCTTGCCTAAAACCAATGTTTTGCCTGAACTCCTTGCCTAAAATCAATGTTTTGCCTGAACCCCTAGCCTAAAACCAATGTTTTGCCTGAACTCCTTGCCTAAAATCAATGTTTCGCCTGAACCCCTTGCCTAAAACCAATGTTTTGCCTGAACTCCTTGCCTAAAATCAATGTTTTGCCTGAACCCCTAGCCTAAAATCAATGTTTTGCCTGAACCCCTTGCCTAAAACCAATGTTTTGCCTGAATTCCTTGCCTAAAATCAATGTTTTGCCTGAACCCCTAGCCTAAAATCGATGTTTTGCCTGAACCCCTTGCCTAAAACCAATGTTTTGCCTGAACCCCTAGCAATCAATGTTTTACCTGAACCCCTTGCCTAAAACCAATGTTTCGCCTGAACCCCTAGCTTAAAATTAATGTTTCGACTGAACCCCAAGCCTAATACCAATGTTTCGCCTGAACCCCTATCCTAAAATCAATGTTTCGTCTAAACCCCAAGCTTAAAATCATTGTTTCGCCTGAACCCCTAACCTAAAATCAATGTTTCGCCTGAACCCCAAGCCTAAAATCAATATTTCGCCTTAACCCATAGCCTATAATCAACTTTCTATCATTAAGAAGGAGTAGGAGAATTTATACCTGTTTAGCTCTTTTTATGTCTTCTATAGTAGGACCAAGTGGATCTCCTGGAACAAGATTAATTTTATTAATTAAACCAAGTGGAAGGGGTGTATCATTTTCTTGAAAAAACGTTCCCCCCCTTAAGAAAATAATTTTCCTCCCATAAATTAGGTTTTTTTGGTTTTTATTTGCTGAATTGGTGGAAAAAATAAGATTCAGGGAAATGTAATGAATTTTTGGGTAAGTGTAAAAAACATTTTCCTTTAAATGTACAATCTTTCACCCCTAAAAATTCTGAATTCATTGCCAAGTGGAAACTAATTAATATAAAAATCACTTTTCTAACCGCCCCCTTTAGAAAATATACATGCTTGAGCGGAGGTCAAATTTTTTTGAGGGTAGTAATTCCCTGCATTGGGGAAAATAAATGATTTTTAGGGGAAATCAATAAACTTTTGGATAAAATATTCAACTAGTTTTTTTAAAAGTTGCCTTTTCATGTACAATTTTTAAAATCCTTTTCCCCTCTCCCTAGGGGGGGGGGGTACTTCTAAAAAATATACACCCCTGTGAGAGGATCTTGAAGAAAGCTAAAAACCTAGAATAAAGATTATAAAAAGCCTGGCGTCTTTACTGTTTAAAGCCATTTGAGTTGTCTTTGCTTAGAATAGAAAATAGAGAACTATTTAAGAAAATAATATGGTTGTTTTTGTAAAGAATTGAGAAGGATATGTGAAATATATTTTCTCCGAGTTTCATCAAGTTTTTAAACGCAGTGTAAACTCTCTACCAAGAAGGGAATAGTCAAAGTATTTAAGAACTAGTAGAAACATACTAAAAACCTGCAGGGAATTGTCGCCTGTAGCTTGGACCCTGACTCATTTTCCAAAATTTACCATTTTTGTCCGAGCACTCTGAAATTATTAAGAAAAAATATAGCGTTTCAATGGAAATTGATAACTTTTTCAATCGAACAGCAAGAAACAAACATAGCTTTGTAATTCGATATCGTGGTATATATGGCGACTTAAAATCTAATAAAAACGTCCAGAAATAAGGCCGGTTTCCATTACACCAATTCAAATTAAGATCAGAAATTAAAAGTTGAATATCACAAAGAACCGTAGGGTTGGTTAAACTTTGCAGTTCACATCCTACTACAGGAATTTACAGAGATTAATCCAACAGAAGATCATTTTGCGGATTTCCTGAATTTGCCGCATTTTCTTTATCGTGATCTGGCGGTTCATTTTCATCATTGTCTGTCTCTTCATCAATGTCCTCATAACCTTCGCTATTTTCTTCCTCATCCGCGCCCTCATTCCCGTCCTCTTCCTCTGGTCCTGTATTTTGTCCTCTATTGGGTTGCGGCAGGTATTGGAGAGGATTGAACCAACCCAACCCATGCAGGAGATATACAAATATATTTTGAACTTGTCCAAACCCAAACTCAAGGGTTCGTAACATTTGCAAGGTGAAGAGGAGAACCCTGGATAAAGTTGGGGTTGAAAAACTTATTCTTGAATGATAAGTAAAATATATGAATGAATAAAGTTATTAAAAAATGAAGTAAATAAACAACCCTGCCTGCCCCAAAAAGGAGTGCCTGGAAGTGGAACAGTGTATAATCGTTGAAGATCACTCTCACTTAACGGAGTAAACTCTAAAATAAACGAAAATAATTAATTTAGTTGATTTATATAAAAAAAAAAACATTCATTTTCATTTATATACATATTAATATTTTTATTCAACTACAAAGCATTAGATAAAACAAATAATCAAAATCTATTATGGAATTAAGACACATTTAATGTGAGAAGGTGGTTTTAGTTCGGTTGCCTTAATTTATGAATGAGAATTGTGAAGTACAAAAAGCGCAAAATTAATGAAAATCCGGGAAAATGAGAGGTACATATGAGCATTCCAAAACTCACCCTCTCCTTCCCTCCTGAGGAATGGTCCTTCAATGCTAGTATTGTAGCTACCACAGTCTACAGTACCACATTTCATACCGACCACATGGAAAACAGATTTACTAGTCTTACCACAATCCTTACACAGAATCTCTCTGAGGACAACAGCAAATCAAACAATGCTTGTACGTTATCTTAAAGTTTAATATTTAAAGCTTTGAAAGCTTTTTCTTAGTTTTAACCAATAAAGATTATTTAAACCTCAAAAAATTAGCATCGTAATCCTTGTCTTCCCATAGAAATTATGTTTTAAAAAATAAATAAAAAACCACCTGTCATTTGTTAAAATTATCAGCTGGGCAACATTTTTACAACAACTAATTAATAATGCTTTCCTAAAAAGATTTGTATATTCGACGGGCATTGGAGTTTCCGTGATCTCTCTAAAATAAAACAAATTTAGAGAAAGTTTTTAAATTACGAGTTAAATCAAATATTATTATAGATATATTAAGCAGGGGGAATATTTCCGTTTGAAGCTTTCAGTAAGATTTAAAAAATTATTTTAATTTTCACGAGTTGTACTTTTCAATTTTTATAGTTCAGCACTTCTTAATTCAAAAATGTACCCCCACAGCATAAATTGTAACTGTGTACATGAAGCGTTTACTTCGATATGGAATAATTTTTCAGCAGATTATAAAGCGTTTGATCAATGATTATACTTTATTTGTATAATACCAATACAAGTAGGGGTGGGGGGGATAGAACGGTCTGATAAGGGGTCACTGAAAACCAACATGTGCACGCTCTCATACAAACATCGAGCAGTATTTTTTCAATTACTTCTTTTAAACTTCAGCTAAAAACAATGACTAAGTTTCAGAGTTGTCTATATCTCAGTGGGGTAGGGGGGGGCAGATTCTAACCTGTCTACGTGTTCCCAAGTAGATTTCATATCCTGCATAGCTCTCCCACAAGAAGGACAAGAATATAAACCTTAAATATCAAAATAAAATAACTTTTGTAAATCTGTACCTTATGCCAAGTTTTTACAAAGAAAGTATGCATATATAAAGTTGATATCTCTGCTTGTTTGTCTGATCATAACTCAAGCACACCTGGACCAATTTGCCTCAAATTTTGATTGGAGATCTCGGGAGACCCAAGAAAATTTTCTTAGTTTGGTTTGAGATTCTAAATTGAGTTGGTCCACTTTAAACGGGAAAAATCGTAAATTACGACAAAGAGTGGGTAAACGGTGGGACTAACTAATACTTCCCTAGGCAACGCTGGGTTCCCAAGCTAGAATAAATACAAAACATACAAAAAATCTTCATAATTTAAAATAATTCGTTCCAACCTGTTTTAAGCATGTCTGAATAGCAAGGCGTATGTATAAGATGCCCACAGGGAGGAATAAAAGTAGATGTTCTAAATATAATTTCATTTCAAAGGGAGTAATCCCAACCTATCAAGGCGGCTTTGGATTAATTGGTAATAGACCTTGAGTAGATGTTTTCTTGATTTGTATTTGGAAAAACAGAGTATACATGTTGAAGAAAAAATAATAATTGGACNCCCCCCCCACTTATAATTTATACCCAACAAATCATTTATTTTCCTCAGCTAACAAAAAAAAACTGCAACAAATCTATAATTTGAAAAAACGCGGCACGAAAATATCTCGAAAGACAGGTTCTGAAGATCTTTAAGATCCGTTTCTGCAAATTTTTCTCTCGCTATTTTGATGAAATAAATAATGTTTAAGGGGAATACAAATAAATTTTAGGTAAAAATTATTAAAATCATAAACATAACTTGTTGTTGTCCTATTTTTCCCAATTTTCTGATAAAACCAAGGAGTAAAAATATAAAAATCTGCAAAATGTATTTTAATTTTCACTATTGTTACAATTTTAAGATAACAGTGTTAATCAACTAGTAAATAAGTAAAAAATAAAAAAGATGTTTCTTCTGATAATTTTATTATTACCTGGACGAGTGAATAGATTCGAAGCAAACAGGACAGTTATTTCGAGAACTCTGGGCTAAAAAAATAAAGTTTTTTTTGTGGACAAGTTCAGGGTTGATATTTTTCTTTCAATTGTTTACATGATACACAAAAGTTGTGCTTGTTATTAAACGCTGAATTAAAATTTGTACGTAGATGATTTGAATCGTAATTTACGTAATTGTAAATATTTTTCTTAAAAATAAGGATTTAACTAGCAACGAATGGTTCAATTATTTCTCTTTCAATAAAGTCCGATTCTCACTAGTACCATTAAAAGCTGTGTCAGATCAAGAGTGCACGAGTTGCCTATAATCTACTGGATTATAAAGGGAATTGTGAGAATTAAGACTAAAGCAAGACAACAACTATCGACATCTTCCACATAATTGATCAGATAAATTGAAGGGTACCACTGTGAATTGGGCGCGAATGCATGAAGCAATTGTAGCTATTTCAACTACCTCTCGTTATCCATAGATTACAGAGGACATTAGTTTCAAAACTAACACTTGGCCCGTTTTAATACTGAGTGTTAGAAATAGGCACAAATTAAAAGACTGGGTGTTAAGGATCCCGGCCCAAATCGAGAGTAAAAGTCGATAATTAAATCAATAACCAACATTTTATTAAGCATGACAAAGACAACAATTCCCAATTTTAAAATATTTTCTGGAATCAAAATGATAAAAGGAGTTTTTTTAAATTAAAACCCTTGACCGTTTTCAAGACAATGTCAGGTTTTCCATTTTCGAACATATCCTGAATTTGAATCATATTGTCGCGTTTTCGAGGCAAACCCACTTTACCGTTTTTGAGTATAATCGTCAATTCAGAACAATACTCACTTTCATAACTTACAAAATAAATTTTTTGAAAGTTAAAAGACTAAATTTACTGCTAAATTATTTCAAAAATCTGAATTTCCCTATTTTATTTTTTAAATAAGAAATAAGAGAATAAAGTTGATTTAATTTCCCGCACTCTAAATAAACAATTTCCCGGATTTCTAGTTAAAATCTACATTTTAAGAACAAAATAATATTTAAAATTTTATTTCTCGATGATTTAATGATTTTTAAATCATAAAAGAACAATATTTTTTTGTTTTATATTTTGTTTATATTTTACTTTATCAAAAAATCTTGTTTTGTTACGTAAGTGCGTAAATGCATGAAAATTGACATTGATATGAATTCAAGTAACTGTCTCAAAACTAGGACATGCTCCGAAAACGCGACATAAGCTGAAATGCGGTAAGCCGGTAATTGTTTCAAAATAGGGATATGTTCAAAAATGAAAACCAGTTTCATCAAAAACGAATTCTCACACCTTATTATTTGTTTAAAGTCGACTTTTCTTGTTATAGCCAACTCGGCTTGGATTTAAAGATATATACGCTTGAAAAAGATAACTCTACAGATTTGGCCCATTTTAACAACCAGAGTTAGAAATGGGCCTAGTGTTAGTTTCGGAACTTATTTCCCCTAAACTATAAAATACCTATGCACTTGTGTTCAGTTCCTATAGGCATGCACATCTCGCAAGTGAAGCAATGCTTGAAATTTTCTCGATGCCCAATTCTAAACATAAACTAAAAATCAAATCAGACAGACATAGATGGCTTAAGCCTTTATAGAGAATGGGTTATAAATATGAGATGGGTTTAAAATTGTTAGTAAAGAGGGAAGATGAAAAAATAGCCTGACCTGGAAACTCTTGTATTGTGGATATCGAAAACAATGCTTGATATAGTTTTTATGTTCATTTTTAGACAAATTTAATCTTTATACGATATCTCACAATGTATTTAAACCCTAAAGAAGGAACTAAAATGAATAGATTAAGCATTGATTTAATCCTTAAATGAAAAGTGTTCACTGTAAATATATAGATTAAGTGATCAAGATTATGAATATCGAACACAGAAGTTCCCAGCACTGGTAAAATTTGTATGTTATCTTCCGAATGACCNCCCACTCCATTCTCATTTCTTTTGGCTCGATTTCAACCTAAGTCCTGTTCAGTATAAAAATAAACAATCTGAATAAAAATCTGAATCAAAAAACTTTAGTCACCTGCATATTCCACATCCCTCGCAGTGAAACTGCCCCTTGTCCTTATGATCGAAGAGACGACAGATCTTGCAAAAATATTTTTCACCAAATATTGTTTTACAATCATAACATTCATTACTAAACCAGGCACTAATAAACTTAACAAAACGAACAACTCAACCTTTAATTCGTTCAATTTTCTAAAATTTCTTTAAAAATATCAATTTACCCCAAAGTTTAAAATGTAGAGCGGAAAAATCCTGTAAAATGACTTTATAATTTTAAAGGGACTGTAGTCGAAATTTCAAATGACTCTTCACTAGTAGATCGGCATGTCCGATTTACAACGGTACCCACGAAAACTTATCCATGTTTAACTCATTAAAATTCCATATTTTCCATTGTGGTTTCTATACAAAAAAGATTTGTGCATTTCTTCCGCAGATACTAGGGGAGGAAATGATCAGAATTAGACACTTTTCCAGCTGAAAGAACGACGAAATCTTTCATCTCATGGATCAGATAAGAGTTTAAAGGGTACAGTTGAGGATCACTTGAACTTAAGCTTACAGTCCCTTTAAGAAATATGAATATTTTAATGAATATAAACCGTGGTAATAAATTCATTTTTTCTTTAAAATTACTTCCCCCCCCCCCCCTCCTCTAAATTTTCATCTGCTTTATGGAATCTCAAACTTTTTATTTTTGCGTAGCTGTTTTCTAGTAGAATATTAGTGTTTCCTGATCCCACTTCTTTTATCACATTTATTACAAACAATCTCTTCGACAAGGGTTCTAAATTTCAAACAACTTAATGATTTTACAACATTTTTTATTAATAAAATAGAAGCTTTCAATGCAATTCCGATTAAAATGAAAATAGTTTATTTTACTTGTTGCACAGTTACATTTTTTAAAATCATAATATTTATATTATATTAAACTAACACAATTATTTAAAACATCTAAAAGAAAATATGTTCATAAAAAATACTAAATTATGTTTCCTGTCCAGTGTATGAGATTCTTTTTCATCATGACAAACTCTGTTAAGCACGGTTTGTTATTCTATAAATATCTTACGGGTCTGTCCTCGAGAACGCTTGATGCCTCCCCCCTGTCAATTTTTTACAAGACAGTTTTTCAAAAGATTATTGGAGGGAGTTCAAAAAGCATTCTCGAGATAATCACCATTTATATAGTGTTCGTAATTTATAAGATTTAAAATATCTTCTCGATAGTAATGATACGCATGCAAAAAGCTCCCTAAATCTTTGAAAGGAGGGTAATTTCCTAATATACTTTGACCATGTGGCCGCAGCGCCCGGCCCCATAGCCTGCCCTAGCCGCAGCGCTCGGCCCCCAAGCCTGTCCTTGCTGCAGCGATCGCCCCTGAAAGTGTCTTAACCTTATCTAACTCTAAATAAATACTAATTTTATTGTGACATATTAAAAATGAAGACCCGTCCTGGCCGCACTTCTCAGATCCCTAGCCTGGCCAAGCCGTAGCGCTCGGCCCAGAAAGAGTCTTAACCTAACCTAACCCTAAATAATAATAAAAATAACTATAATTTGCTGAAAAAAGTGGTCATGTACAAAATTGATCGGAAGGGTGAGGAGGGGGTCCAAAAACGTATACTAGGATGGACCCAAGAAGAGATATTAACTACGACATTTAAAAAATTTTCCTTGATAAAAAACCGTTTCCTGCAAGGGTATATATTCTGACAGCAAGGTGCAACAAGACTACAATTTCTAGTGTAATGCTCACAACCAGATGTCTCAGACATATTCACTGCAATATATATAATTTGTAATTAACATCTTCAGCCTTTTGAATTTGTAAAGATAATCCACTAGATTTGATTTATAATTAATACAATAAAATCAAATAAATTCAGAGCTGCGACATTAGGCCGAGCGAGTTCTGTTGCCGATACTATGTAGTGTTGCGGCATTCATCTAGAACATGTGATTAATTGATTAAAGGCGATGGTGTATCTTTCGACCTGCGCGTATCCACTATACTCCACTTCTGACCTACGCCAAATCCGCTACTCATTCGTCCTACTAGCACGTGGTTTTACAGCTGCTTGGCCCCCTAGCCTGTACTAGCCGCAGCGCTCGGGACAGAAATTGTCTTTTACCTAACCTAATTCCAGCTTAAATAATACAAAAATAAATTGAACGTAATTTGCGTGATTTGCGTATACAGACACGATGCATGTAACATTACCAAATATTTAACGACTAACGCACATCCGCTATACTCCATTTTACCTACGTCAAATCCGCTATACTACTAACTCCCTACGTATCCCACCATATAACTAGCTTTTAATTCAAAGCTACAGGAATTGACTTAATTGCTCTTTGCTAATATATATATATTTATCTATAATCTATGTTAGCATATACTGAAGGTCTAATACAAGGAAAGTTATTTCAGAGGTCTACACATCTTTTGTACTGCAGTGTACTGTCTCTGGGCAGATGTTGAAGCCTGACATGGGATCCTTCTTTCACATAAAAATCAATGAAACATTATGTGAATTATCAAAATTATCAAAATTTAATGCTTTTAGCCTTTTAACCTCAACCTTGAATACTAAACGAACACTGATGCATCTATTTTTGTTTACAAACTCCGACCAGATAGAAGTGGTTTCAATATGTACGCAGAGTATACGCAACTACAATTAACTTTCCTTTTAAAAAATCTAATTTTTGTTTGTTAAAATAATAATAATAATCGTATTTTGTAATGATAGTGTCACGTAAACACAAAAATGCAAATACAAATTTAATGGCTCCTTTCTTTACAAATTTAATGTTTATACCATTACTTCTATATATTCAATGCATTTGTATTGTGTAAAAAAGAATACAAAATTAATTTAGATAATTAGTTGTTAGGTTTATTTTTACAACAAACTTTCTTTAACAATTGACAGAGAGACTAGAGTACTTATAGTTTTCATGCAGTCAAATTTAGTTGATGGAAGTACAGTGTAGCTAGAACAGAAAGAAGAAGAAAACACTGAAAATTCCCTACTATCTCTTACTTTCAAATTCCTATATCTTTGCAACCTGATGTCAAACTTCTTTGATGTTTCAAACATTCGAATTCTCTCTATAACACTTAAATCTTTCTACAGGGAGTGCATCCTGTCCGTATCGTAATATTCTTAGTTATATTTTGATATCTCATTCAATATCTGTCAATAATAGGTGAAGGGAAACTTGTAATAAGTACAACATCTCCATATTTGTTAACCTGAAGATACCTAGATAAATAATGGTGTACATTGTCTGTTAATTAGAATACGCTTATCATTAACTACGCAGAACAATTTACCTAGCCTCGCTACATCTGTAAATATATCATAACCTGTATTGTGATTTACTTTTAACTAATGTTAGTAACTGGCTTAACTACGCTTATATATATATATCTGCGCTGATCTTGTAAATATGTATATTAAATCTGTAACATAGACATCTAAATACACATTTGTTGGAATAGGTTTTGATTACCGTCTAAGGAGTAATATATCCTCGTATAGCAAATGAGATGGATTTGAGTTGTATCTTGTAAAACAGATTCANCCCCCCCCCATTTGTAATAAATACAGCAATCCACAAATTTGTTAACCTAAAACACCTAGATAAATTACGTTGTACACAAAGAGAATAGAATATATATTAAAGGGGAATTTAGAGAATCTATCGGTAAGAATTTTTTCAGTCACTTTCAGACTGAAAGGGAGTTCACAAATTATATGCAGTAGAGTACATTAATACAGTACGTTCCCTAGGACTATCCATTTCAACTTCGAATTTTTTAAAGCTGTTAAATAAACTTTATAATGAATCAGGTGAATAAAAAACATCATTTGATTTATATAGTTATAACGGAAAATCATCGTTTGTAAAGTGAAAGGCATAGAGTCTATGTGAAATGATCATTTGTCAATTATGAAACCAGCCTATTTCATAATTTGGTTTTCTTTTAATATTAATTTTAAATTTTCTATAAAATGATATTCCAGGGCCCAAAAGGTTATATTGCATAAATATGTGAAGTACACCTGCAGTATGGAAACAGTACAACAAAATGCCCGTTTTAAATTTTTTTCTAGTAAATTCCCCTCTAATATATATTCTATTCTCTTTGGTTGTACATTGTCTGTAAATCAAAATACAACTTGTAATGCGATTTACCTAGCCTCGCTACATCTGCAAATATGTCATAATATTACATATGAAAGAAAAATGAATCAATGCAACTACTCATTTGATTGAATATTCGACGAGTCGGTTTTTCTTACAATTTATTATTATTAACAACGATACAAAAACTAAGGGAAAATACTATACGAATCAAGTAGCATGAATTGAGAATGTTTCAGAGTGATGGGAGATCTCCAGGGGAACCTATTAACTAGGGAGCTGGTCTTCAACTGCCATTTTTCCCCGAGTTTCACTCCACCCTTGCCTAGAGCTTAACCCTAGTTCCCCGGGAGCTGGCCGGCCATCCCACCAGCGCCCGGGCCTCTGGAATAACGGAACAATTGGCGTGGCTTCGGTTATCGGCGTGGATTGGGTTATTTATAGAGTTCACATGCAAACTCAAATAAATCCGTTAGGATTCAAAATAGGATTCAAAAGTCCAACCGAAGGGTAAAAGGGGGGGGGGCATGATACCCCTAGGTAGCTATGATCTCAGCGATCTAAAAAATCCTTGAATCGCTGATCGTAAAAGATCAACAAAATCACACATTGTTACAATAACCTGTATTATTGTGAATCACTTATAGCTACATCATTAACTGGCTGAACTACGCTTATATATATCTGCGCTAATCTTGTAAATATGTATATTAAAGTTAATCTGTAACATATCTAAAATGTATCTTGTATCTTGTAAAAGAGATGCAAACGAATACAGAGAGCTAGTAGTACCTGAGTGATATTTACTAAAGAATACAGACAGAATCTTATCCGGATTGATATGGCCTAGTGTATTATTTCGGAACCTTGAGTTCAAGAAGAATCATGCCCATTGGTTTGGCATTGATAGTTTACAAGCTAGTATCTGGTTGACATCGACAGCTGACGAGATCCTGCCCATTGGTTTGGCATTGATAGTTTACAAGCTAGTGCCTGTGTTGACATCGATAGCTGATGAGATCATGCCCATTGGTTTGGCATTGATAGTTTACAAGCTAGTGTCCGGTTGACATCGATAGCTGACGAGATCGTGCCCATTGGTTTTCCATTGATAGTTCATGGGATCGTGTCCGGGTTTTGACATTGCTAGTAAAGTGAACCTGGACAAATGGATTGCGTCTTTGAATTAAACTCAAATATTTTAATTTAATATTTTAAACTTAGACTATTTGGTCCAATAGTCTAAAATGTGAAAGGTTTACGACATCGGGGTGGAAAGATATAAAATCAGAAATTGCAGCAAAAACTCCATTCTTTTACATTTTATGGGTGAAAATGGGTTCTCAAGTCTAGGGCATAGGAAAATGAGAATTTGATGCAAGCTTTAAATTTATTGTCTCAACCCTGACAATAAGAATCGGGGTTGAAATACTATTTTTCTGCAATCTATACGTCTCTTTATGTTAAATGATTAGATAGATAGATAGATAGATAAAGTTTATTGCTAAAATACATGTATCTGTGTACAAAATGGGTTTTGGTGATTATATTAACAGTACAATTATAAATCAATTAGGTGGAAAATAGCTCTTGGCTGTTTTGATTATTTTTTCCACCTAATTTCAAAACATTTCAAGTAAATAGATTTAAGGAGCACTATTAGAGATTTAAGCCTGATAATGAAAACATTTTGGTCTTTGTCTACAAATTTGAAATTTAACCATTTATAAAACTGTTATTTTGGTTCAAAAACTTTATAGTACGTCGTGCCAAAATAATAGTGTTGTAAACTTGTAGGTATTAGGTAATTTTATGAAACGTTTGCAGTGTACTTATCTTATTTCAATGGCTGTTTCTAGATCAAATAAGCTTTGAAACAAATCAGAAGTCAAAATAAAAAGTTGATTTCAATTTTATTTTTATTTCAATTGAAAAAAATATTTTGAAAATATCCTAAATTTTTGGAGAAAATCCGGGAACCAATCAAAACTTTATAGCGCACGTGCTATAATGTACAGCTAATTTAACGATGATTACTAGAGCACATTCATTATGAGATTCACGATGAAGTGAGTAATATTGATAAAGTACACTATAGTTTCATAAAAATATAAAATGGGTTCAAGGAGGGGAACCACAAATATAAGCACTAGAGCCAGGATCATGGACCAAAGGTACAAGATATATATATTTATCTCAGTTACTAGGAGAGAACTTGGAGCTGAGATATGTTTTTTACTAGAATTACTATTTTATAGCTAATAAAAAATGATTATTTTAAGTGCTAAAATATTATAATTGGATAATTATCACACAACTTCAATCAGTTTAATTTCAAAATGTAAAGTTCAAAACTCAATAAATTAAATATATTCTGATTCAGTAGACCTAAATGAACCAAGATCCAAGTGGGGCATCCATACCTAAAAATGTCATATTTAAAACACCAAAGATTGTTCAAGTTTACAAAATCACATTTTTAAACTTATTCTCATTGTTCATTTAATTTGGTATAATCTTTCCTAGTATTTTATCTAATGTGTCCTACTGCTCATGGTGCATAGATGGACATATAGTTTTATTCTTAAACTGCACGAAGTTATAGCTTTACTCTTTCTTCTACCCCCCCCCCCATAAA